ACAAATCAAACTCGTAAGTAAGTTAATAATAACAATAATAATGGAGTGGATTGATATAGTGCTTTTCAAGGCACCCAAAGCGCTTTACAATGCCACTATTCATTCACTCTCACATTCACACACTGGTGGAGGCAGCTACAGTTGTAGCCACAGCTGCCCTGGGGCAGACTGACAGAAGCCAGGCTGCCATATCGCGCCATCGGCCCCTCTGGCCAACACCAGTAGGCGGTAGGGTAGATTTATTATATTACACTATATTATCCAATATTATATTACATTATATTATATTATGTTATATTATATCCCCTTTCACATTAGAGCCACAACAGGACCCACTAGAACATGGGAACAAGTAAAAGTGAAATATAAGAATATTCCACAGAATGGTAATATTTATCACTTATATTGCTTTTATTCTCTTGGAAAGAGACCCTGAAATACTCTGTTTGTTTGTTCATAACAGCAACCAAGAAAAGGGCAGAGCAAAAAAAGACAGGTGGTGGTCCTGCACCCCCTCGTCAACAAGTTGGTTAAGTAAATAATACCCTCACGGGAATATCGATATCTCTCAATGAGCACACTGTCGCGCTGAGCTAAAGGATCCTGTCTGTCCCGCAATATACGCTGAATTCTGAGGACTCTCCTTATCAATCTTGCACCTTCCGCAATGGGTGGCTCGCGTAGACGGACAGGACATGGCTGCGACAGGTTTCCCAAATCCACCTTCACTTTTATAGCCGTGGTCTCCCATCTTGTTGACGCAACAACATTGTCATCCCCTATGTAGCCGGTGTATCAGAAAAACTCAGGAGAGTTTTCTCCAAGCATGACATCCCGGTGCATTTCAGACCCACCAACACGCTCAGACAAAAACTGGTTCACCCGAAAGACAAAACGCCAAAACACAGACTTAACAATGTGGTGTATGCTGTACAGTGCAGTGAGGAATGCCCAGACCTCTACATTGGAGAGACCAAACAGCCACTTCACAAGCGCATGGCACAACATAGAAGAGCCACCTCCACAGGACAAGACTCAGCAGTCCATCTGCATCTTAAGGATAAAGGACACTCTTTGAGGATGCCAATGTTCACATTTTGGACAGAGAGGACAGATGGTTTGAAAGAGGAGTGAAAGAAGCATCTATGTCCACTGTGAGCGACCATCTTTGAACAGAGGCGGGGTTTACGACACCAACTCTCTGCCATCTATAATCCAGTTTTGAGATCCCTTCCCAGACGCCTTAATGCCCACTCACATCCTGGGCCATCTGACCTCAGGAATTCGCATGATAAGGTGGGGCCAGGTTTCACAATGAACCCACTCGAAACTCTGGCTGATTGGGACCCACACCCAGTTTCACACCTTGGCTCAGGCGATTAGAGGATCATCAGGGGGTCCTTTTGTCCCTCTGTGGGGGGTTACTCCCACTAGGTTTATATCTGGGACTCTCCACCATTTGACCTTAGAACTGAAGAGCGGACATACCTGCGTGGCCGCGATCTAATCCTGTTTACATAAAGTAAACCTGCTCCCGAGCAGGTTTACGCTTACGGCTCTGTTGCTATGACAGCAAGTCCCGGATGAGCTTCGGGGAACCGAACGATCCAAGATCACGCGAAATCGTCAACAATCTAATCCAGCTAACTTACTTAGCGAGGTACGAAGAACGGGCCCCAGGTTAGCGAAGCAGACAAGCAACTGGACTTAGACAGAGAGAATCCAGCCTCCTTTTTTCCTCAAATGCGAAAAGAGAAAGGCAAGAGCTCACAAGCTCAAATTCTATATAGTGCTATAAGCCACAGGAATAATTTTAGGAAAACTCAGCATTCTGTCATTCACTGTGTGAGGCACGCAGGTTTGAAGAACCCAAAATGTAGACCAAACTCAAGTGGCAGCTTTATTGCTGGACTGCAAAAACTGTTCAGGAACTTAACTAACAGGCAGAACACAGTGGGGAATGAGGGCGATCGCGACATGGGCAAACGTGGGAACAACTCACAGGAGGGAACACAGCTGAGCGTAATCTGTCTGTCAATCTAAAAGAGGTAGTACAAGAAACACATACAATTGGACACAGACAGATGAAACCCAGGGGAAGGAGGCAAGACAGTGAGGATGAGAGAGCAAGGGATGAGAGAGGGCGAAAGAACAAGGGACGAGAGGGACACAAGAACACATGTCTAGGGAAACAGGCAGACAAACATGAAGACAAGACTGACCTAACAGGGGTGGACACACAAAGGCAAGACCAAGGCTAACAGGACAGAGACGAGACCAGGACATGACAAGGGAACTAATAACTAACCAGACAACCTGAACTAGAAATACAGATAAGTCAACTAGGAAAAAAGTCACACAGAGAAAACAACAACGAATAAACAAGAGTCAAAGAAAAAAAAAAAAACACAACGATCCAGGTACCCTAACATATTTGGACGTAATACGACCCTAAGGCTGTCAGAAGAGAACTGTGTGTAAGAAGGATGCACAAAAAAATGCATGAAGCCTACCCACTCACTTTGCAGACCCTAAAGTGAGAAGCAGTACTCAAGTCAAGTCGAGTGGCTTTATTGTCATTTCAACCATGTGCAGTGGTACAGTACACAGTGAAACCAGACAACGTTCCCCCAAGACCATGGTGCTACATATGACATATACAGACAATCAACACAGAACTATATAAATTGCAAGTGTGCAAAAATTGCCAAAAACCAAACAAAAAAATAGTGCAACACCAGACAGAACAGAATAATGCAGACACAAGACAGTGCAGACACAACAGTGCAATAGAAAAGTGCAACAATGACAGTGGGTTGTGCAAAAGACTGAGCATTGTACAAAAGGTAGCTTGATGTATGAAGGTGTGCGTGTGTGTGTTTGTGTATATGAGATTGTGCAGTTAAATGCTTGAGGTAGTGACATGTATTAAGGTCCAGTTACTGAGTGTTCAGGAGTCTGATGGCTTGGAGGAAGAAACTGTTTCACAGTCTGGCAGTGAGGGCCCGAATGCTCTGGTACCTCTTGCCAGAAGGCAGCAGTGTGAAGAGTGTGTGTGAGGGGTTTGTGGGTTCCTCTGCAGCTTTGCGGATGCAGTGGGTGCGATACGTGTTTGTAATGGAGGGAAGAAAGGCTCCAGTGATCTTCTCAGCTGTTCTCACTAGCCAATGTAGGATATTGCAATCCAATACAGTGCAGCTACCATACCAGATAGTGATGCAGCTGCTCAGGATGCTCTCAATAGTCCCTCTGTAAAAGGTGAGAATGGGTGATGGGAGATGGGCTTTTCTCAGCTTCCGCAGGAAGTAAAGATGCTGTTGGGCCTTCTTAACTATGAAGCTGGTGTTGAGGGACCAGGAGAGGTTTTCCACCAGGTGACCACCAAGGAATTTTGTGCTCTTGACGACCTCCACAGAGGATCCATTGATGTTAAGTGCACAGTGATCTCTCTGTGCTCCCATGAAGTTGATATTCAACTCTTTTGTTTTGTCCACATTCAGAGACAGGTTGTTGACTCTACACCAGTACAGCGTACTTAAGGTACACCTTAAGTCACCTCATCATATCCAATATCAAAAGCAGATATAGTTGCCAAATAAACCTTAGTTGTAGAAAAAGAAAGAACTTTATCCAGGAATGTTAAAACACCCACAATAGATTAGAGTCACAAAGGGAGTGTGTGCCCGCATGTCTCCATCAATAAGACATGCTGGTCCTTCCAAACTAAAAATTGACGAGAGCTCACATGCAAGATGTGGTTATCATCAGCTTCTCTAGGGATGTTGGGGTGGACACAGGGAGCTATTTGTTTAAGTCTTGCAGTTTTTCCCTTTTTTTTTATCTACTCCTTCTCTTTACTATCCCTGTCACCTTCAGCAGTGTATAACCACAGAGATAATAATAAGAATAATAAAAGAAAACAAGTAAATAAATAAAAGAAAAAGATTAACGTTGAATAAAATAAGTGTTGAACATTTCACCAAGTTTCAAAGTAAATATATTTTTGAAGGCAGTATTGACGTGACATTCTCACCAAATGTCAGTAGCAACCCATCCAACCTACAGATGCAAAGAAATCAAACCATAGATGTCCATGAAAAAAGTTATGTGTAATAGAGAAATTATACACGGAAGAAGTATTGAACACATAAAGAAAGGGAGGTGTAAAAGGCATGGAAAGCAGTGACACCAGCTGAAATCTATCAGTAATTTCCAAGCAATCCTGCCACTTAATTCAAATTAAAATGAGCTGGTTCAGTTCCAGCTGGTGGCCTATTAAGGTCTGTCATTACCAAGGTGTCACACAACAAACATCTCATGACTGGTAAAACCAGTGAGTTCTCTCAACACCTTTGTAACCTTATTGTTGCAAAACAAACTGATAGCACTGGTTGCAGAACTGATCACTCATTTACCATAAACTGGCCACAAGTAGGTGCTCCCTGAAAGACAGAGGAGTGAAAAGAATTATTAGAAGAGTTGTCCAAGAGCTAAGGATGATAAAAATCTGCAGGTTTATTTATTCAGAGAAAACAATAAGTAATATATGCAACCGGCCTGCATTTTTTTTTCTGTGATAATGGTAATAGTGATATAGTAGTGTGGTAATAAGCCCACAGACAATAATCATTTGACTCAGAATTCTCCCAGTGTGCTACTGAAATGTTGACTTATGAATGAAACAATCACTCAAAAATAAAGTTTAAATGTGTGTCATAAAGGTAAAGCTTTTAATTAACGGACATCAGTTCCCACAAGTCCACAGTCACGTTCCCAACTATATGGCTACCAAAAGCATAGCTTTGTTCTGTCTTTGTCAGATAGATGCTCGAAATACTGCTATTTTTTTATGTTTTTGACAGGGTCTTTTACAATGAATGCACAATAATTTCATGATGTTACTGAAACAACATGTGGCATTTAGTTATATTTTTTGGTTAAAATGTCACCACCTGTGTTTTTGTATGTTTGTGTATGACTAGCCTGTTATATCTATTCAGGAATCAGATGGCCAAGGATGCCCTTTCTGTCGCTGTGAGATCAAAGGCACAGAGCCCATTATTGTGGATCCCTTTGACCCACGAAATGAGGGCTCCAAGTGCTTCTTCCTGGACCAACACAGCTCCCCCTTGCTGGACCTGGATGATGAGGAAGACCGAGAAGACTGTCTTGTCATGAATGGACTGGCCAACATCAGGAAGGTAATCTACACAGGATCAAAAGTATTAATACAGACTTAAATACACTGCTCAAGAAATTATATACAGTTATATATTATATGGCTAAGGAACTTGGAAAGAAAAATGTCTGGACTTCTTTAAGTTGCTTGAAGATATTTCATCTGAGAAGCGTCTTCAGTTCTTAGATGGTGGAGAGTCTCAGAATTAAGGCCTGTGGGAGTGACACCCAAGAGCGACATGGACATAGAGCCCCTATTGATCCATATGCTATTTGGTCCATTTGACCGTGTCCCTTGGTGTGCTGTTTGAGGTGCTGCGGGAGTATGGGGTGTCCCTATACAACTGTAGCAAGAGCTTGGTCCACATAGTCGGACTCATTCCCGAATGGGTGTTGGGCTCCGCCAGGGCTGCCCTTTGTCACCGATTCTGTTCATAATTTTTATGGACATAATTTTTAGGCGCAGCCAAGTGGCAGAAGGCTTTCACTTAGGTGGTGTCAGAATCTCATCTCTGCTTTTTGCGGATGATGTGGTTCTGTTGACTTCATCTGGTGCTGGCCTCCAGCTCGCAATGGAATGCTTCGCAGCCGAATCTGAAGCGGCGGGAATGAGGATCAGCACCTCCAAATCTAAAGCCATGGTTCTCAGCCGGAAAAGGGTGGAGTTTTCAAGGTATCTACATTGAGGCTGTGGATAGCTACAGGTATTTTGGTGTTTATTTGAACAATAAACTGGACTGGACTCATAATACAGAAAAGGGTATTAGGTATTAGGATTCTCTCTAATTTACACAGGGTCAAAAGTATAGAATAGGATAGAAGACTAGAATAATCCTTTAATTGTCCCACAAGGGGAAGTTTGGTTGTATCAGCAGAAAAAACACACATATACAAACAGAACAGGACAAAGAACAGAAATACAGTTTTTACATATTTACATCATGGACAATAGTTACCAAAGAGAGTACTGTACAGTTATTAAAATTAAAGTATAGATAAGTGGCAAACCCAGGTTGTAGTGTGCAAACAGTGCAGGATACTGAAAGATGTTTAAATGCTTATTGGGCGACTGTGGCTCAGGGGGTTGGGAATCGCATCTGTAACCGGAAGGCCGCCGGTTCGATCCCTGGGCTCTCTGTCCTGGTCGTTGTGTCCTTGGGCAAGACACTTTACCCTACTTGCCTACTGGTGTTGGCCAGAGGGGCTGATGGCGCGATATGGCAGCCTCGCTTCTGCAGCTGTGGCTACAACTGTAGCTTGCCTCCAGCAGTGAGTGAATGAATAGTGGTATTGTAAAGCGCTTTGGGTATCTTGAAAAGCGCTATATAAATCCAATCCATTATTATTATTATTATTAAATAGTTAAGAATATTTAGAATAATTAGAAAAGTGTAGATTGCGTATTGTACCTGTGCATTAAAAAGTAGACATGTAACTTGTGTATATATAAACTGAGAAAAGTAATGTGCAATGTAAATGTAACACAGTAAGGGGAATTGTTGAAAAGAATATATCAATGGACCAATAGGCTCGACTATAGGAGCACAGGGGTGTGTTCAAATGAGACACAGAGACAAGAATGTAACTCAAAAGAACCGGCCAACTTTAGTGACATAAACCATAAGGTTGACAAGCACAGGTTAAAGACACTTTACAATGGTAGAAAGGAAACTTACAAAAATTAAAAGAAAAGTAAAACACAAACTACTAAAGCAATGACTTGGCCAAGTGTTATTTTTGGTTTTCAATGTTCGGGTTTCAATGCTCGGGTGCACCCTAGTAACCTGACTCCTTAACTCTTATAGAACAGATTACACAAATCCAATGTACATTCAAATGAAAATCTCACACTCTTTTCACATGTGGAGAATGTTCTACACAACAGCTCATTATTTAAAGTCCCAAATAAAAAATGTCCAAGGGGTAAAGTCCAAAAAATTCCCAGGGTGTGAAAGAAAATAGGGATGAGAGAATGTCAGTCAGTGGTCTTATGTATAACCAGCTGTGCGTGAAAGTGTGAGTGATACAGTCCTACCACACCGCAAGGTGCAGCAGATCATCAAGTGGAAAAGAAGCGAATCTCAGTCTCTCTAAGTCCAGGTGGGAAGGCTCGCCATCTATTTCACCGGAGGAATCCACCTCAGGAACAATTCAGCATACAAAAAAAACCTGACCTGTCAACGGACAGGGTCAGAAGAGCAATTCAAATATTAATTATGCTGTTCTAGCTATAATTCACAACTTAGGATTTTGTTTAAATCACATTCAACATAAATTTGCAATAAAAATACTCAAATTTGCAAAAATAAAACATTTCTCTTACACAAACTGCATTAAACCAAGTAAAGTCAGTGCATATGCATATATGTCGCATATGCGACAATTATTAATCAAACAATTGAGATTAATTCAGTTTCTCAACAATAAAATGTGAAACAGACGTGAACTAACTGAGACATACAACATGTGCTCACCGATCTCAGCGCATCACGGCCGAAGACAATGGCATAGTGTCTCTCGGTCGGAAAATGCAGGGCTCTAAATAACGTAACAGGACATGTTTTCTCTTTAATAACCGTAATACGACATGAAGGAAAAATAAACATAAGTTGCGCTTCAAGTGTTACCTTACTTCTGGAAGCAGATTGAGATGAACTTCCAGGCAGTTGATAGCAACCAGAGCTAACAAAGGCTAACAGTTTAGCTCCACGCGGTACTTTCTAAAGTCACCAGAAAAATGCAGCATTTGCCTATTTACTCACTGTGGCTACTTTTAACATGAAAGGTAGCTGATAACCAGTGAACTTATGTGCAACACAGTTGGTTGCAACTTATATCTAATACTTTTTTCCAGCTCAAAAGCTTCAGTCTCTCTTTTCTCCTGCCAGCGCGCGACTACCTCCACACATAGCAGCAAACACAGAGCACGTAGGTGGGACATACAGCGGCAGACTGCTCTCCCATTGGTCAAAACATACTGGGACCTGTGCATTTCGATTGGTTGGGCAGGCTGTCCATCTCTCCTCATATCAGTCCTTAAAGTGGTACCCTCATTGTATGTGGGTTACACCCTCCCCTCTTGATGGTATGCCCGTCCCTGGGCATCTGCAGGGTGGCAGTCTTGGTTGTCTCCCAAACATCAATTCATAGGGGGAAAATCCAGTCACGTCACTCTTCGTACAATTATATGTGGGTTACATAAACATTAGGGGTCCAACGATACACAAAATTCACGGTTCGGTTCGGTTCGATACTTTGGTGTCACGGTTCGATATTTTTTCGATACAAAAAAAAATGTTCATGCCTTTTTAATTTGTAACTTATTAAAATCATAAATATATATTTTAACTCAAAAGTACAGTTTTTAAATTTAATGTTGCTGAAACAACAAAGTAATTAAAAAAATAAATCTATCTGATGGAGAAATCCCTCATCTTTGGAAAAGAGAGTTTATTACAGAGAAATGGCTCTTTCCAAAATAAAAGCTATACTATACGCTTCTTCTGGGCTATATTCTCAGCAGCATATTAAACATATCAGGTCCCCATAAGGAGAATCATGTGCTAACGGCTGTCTAAATGACTCGGATAAAGTTTGTAGCATGCTGCTTGTTGTTTTTGTCTGCTTCCACTTGTCTTTGCACTAGGATGATGTCGGCGTAAATGTGCAGTCACATTCATTGTGTTCCCACTAGTGCTGTCAGCGTTAATCTGAAATGACGTTAACGCCACAACACGCAAGTCTCCGTTAACGAGCTACCGCGGATCGCCCCGTGCGTGGGGCTGGACGGCCAACACGTTAACGAGCTAACTGCGCTAACGCACTAGTTCCCTCCAATGTAATTGAGCATTACGTGGCACATCCAACATACTGTTTTACTTTTGTCCATGACGCGCTTACCTTCAGGGTCATACGTCACATGAAAACCAAAATAGTTCCAAACGCCACATCTGAATGAGGGTGGGGGAGGTTCAATTTGCCATGTTGCAAGGAGAGCTTAACTTCTGTCTTGCTAGCTTGCCCTGCGCTCAGTGAATCTGCGTTCGACTACTCCGCCTAGGCTGCACTGTCGAGCGCAGATCCACTGAGCGCTCAACACAGACAGCATCGTCAGAAGGAAAGTTGATAAAATAAATTAAAAATTTTGTATTGTTCGATACATATGCGTACCGAACCAAAAGCATTGTATCGAACGGTTCAATATCGATACGAGTATCGTTGCACCCCTAGTAAACATCTATGTTTGTTGGGAGCAGTTTTGATTGTACAGTCTGACAGCTGCAGGGAGGAAGGACCTGCAGAAACGCTCCTTCATGCATCTAGTATGCAACAGTCTGTCACTGATGGAGCTCTGCAGTTCAGCAACATTTACATGCATGGGGTGGGAGACTTTGTCCATCAGAGAAGTTATTTTGGCAAGAGTCCTTCTGTCTCCCACCACCTGCACTGGATCCAGGGTGCATCCCAGAGCTGTCCTTCCTGATAAGTTTATCCAACCTCTTCCTCTTAGCTGTCGATAAACTGCTGCTCCAACATACAACACGGTAAAAAATGATGGATTCCACCACAGAGTCATAGAATGTCTTTAGAAGCACTCCCTAGACTCCAAATGACCTCAGCCGCTTCAGTAGGTAGAGTCTGCTCTGGCCCTCCCTGTAAAGAGCATTAGTGTTGTGGCTCCAGTCCAGTTTATTATTCAGGTGAACACCCCGGTACCTATAAGAGTCCATTATCTCAATGTCCACTCCCTGGATGTTCACCTGTGTCAGTGTGGTGGGTCTGTCTCCCCGGAAGTCCACCACTAACTCCTTGGTTTTCCCAGTGTTGATCAGCAGGTGGTTCTGCTGACACCAGTCCACAAGTCCAGAGTCCACTGTCTGTACTCTGAGGCTACGTCCACACTAATGCGTTTACTTTTGAAAACGCATGGTTTTCTCTCTGTTTTGGCCTCCTGTCTACACTGAGACTGTGTTTTCCCCGAAGGAAAACGCATCATATTGAAAACGCTCTCAAAAACAAATACATTTAAAGACGGTGCTTTCACATCGCAGTGTGGACAGTGAAAACGGAGACTTTTGAAAATGATGACACATGTTAGTTTTATGATGCAGTCATGTGACCAATTAAACAAAGATAGCGGAGGGCATTATACAGCAGTTGTTTTGTTTGCTCTCAATTTTGACAGCCCTATTAAAGATTAATAATAATAATAATGGATTGGATTTATATAGCGCTTTTCAAGGCACCCAAAGCGCTTTACAATGCCACTATTCATTCACTCTCACATTCACACACTGGTGGAGGCAAGCTACGGTTGTAGCCACAGCTGCCCTGGGGCAGACTGACAGAAGCGAGGCTGCCATATCACGCCATCGGCCCCTCTGGCCAACACCAGTAGGCAAGTAGGGTAAAGTGTCTTGCCCAAGGACACAACGACCAGGACAGAGAGCCCCGGGATCGAACCGGCGACCTTCCGGTTACAGATACGCTTCCCAACCCCCTGAGCCACGGTCGCCCATGTACAAAATATCAGTTTGTACATGCTTCAGATAGCTTTTCTTCAAATTCTTTAATTCTCACTCGCTTTTGCAACTTTGTAATTTTGTGTTACTCGTAGCAACAACTCCACCTCATTGTTAGTCCATTTAAAAAACCTGGTGCTTTTCCTCGACAGTTTGCCGTGACGTTTCAAAGAGCCGGAAAGTAAATAAAGGGCAGACAGAAATGAGGCAGGCCGAATCTTAGTGTTTCACGCACGTGCAATGCTTGAACGTAAGCGTTTTCGGCCGTTTCAATGTGGACGCACATCTCTGTGAAAACGACTGAAAGTGTGGACGCAGAGCGTTTTCAGACCTTTTCACCTTTTCAAATCTATTCAGGATGTGTGGACGTAGCCTGAGTCATCCTCACCTGTGATGAGGCCGACTATGGCAGAGTCGTCAGACAACTTCTGTAGGTGGCAGCGTGGGGAGTTGATGTAGAAGTCTGCAGTGTAGAGGGTGAAGAGGAATGGTGCCAGCATAGTTCCCTGTGGGGCCCCCGTACTGCAGACCAGCATATCAGAGACACAGCCCTGTGCCCTCACATATCGTGGGCGTCCTGTGAGGTAGTCCAGTATCCACTGGGACACGTGGTGGTCCACTCCTGATAGCTCCAGCTTGTCCCTCAGAAGTCGTGGCTGAATGGTGTTAAAAGCACTGGAGAAATCAAAGAACAGGGTAGCTGGGGACCAGGAGAAGATGAGCAGTGACTGGCTGTCATTGTTGACCAGCCAAGCTAAAAGCATTGTGGTTCATGGTTAAAAAAACTGCTGATGGTTTGACACCATCTGATGACATCTTCTTATGGTTGTTAGTCATAACCATTGACTACAATTGGTAGTAACGCTAAGACGGAGACTTATAAAATTTACAGAAGTTAGGATGGTGGAGCCATTTGAGCCATTTCTAAACAACTGCAGATTCCAAGGCTTACTTCCACAGTCCAAAAAAGAGCATTGGCCAAGCATGTGTGAACATGAGTGTTAATGTTTATCTGTCTCTATGTGTTAACCCTGTGACAGACTGGCAGTCTGTCCAGGTTGTACTCTGCCTTTTGCCCCATGACAGCTGATGATAGATAGTACAGTACTATTGAAAATTGAATACTGAGCTCTAGGTTATATCTAACCTTCTCATTATGTTGGCTATGATACATCACTTCTGGAGCAGTGGCGAGAGCATAATCTCGGGTAATCAAAATGGGAAATAACATTTTACCACATTTTAAAGTGGTGTAGATTTGCTTCCATCTATCCCCTATAAAGAATGTGGATTCTAGCAGTCTCTAATCAGGATAGAACTGGTAATAAACGACTAAGATTTTTTTTTTAAAAGTTTATTTACCTTTTCCCTTAGCAATGTGGTGAGCATCAGAAATCGCCAATGGTGTCGCCCAGTTCTTCACCTGTCAGCCAACACAGAAAAGCCCATGGGGGAAACTCCAGCCAATGTGTCCAGCACCTCAGCCTCCCACCTGTCCCACCACGACGTGACCTTATCAACAAAGGTGCCATTCGCTCCCCATCTGCCAGTCCCATCTGCTCCCCCAAGGTCAGTCACAGTTCAGCACACTGCCACTATGAAACCCCTCATATGTTCACCTGGCACACAAGTGTTTAAGTTTATTTACACAGTTTCTACAATGTTTACTGACCAGCAGAGAATTTACATGACAATCCACAAATTACTCCAAGTGCCCCAAATGCTGCTAATTAAATCCACTTGATTCACTCACTGATCATGATTATCAACTGTTACCATCTCTATAAAAGTAGCAGTCTTGAGTATTAAGGTACGTGTTATCACAATGCTATGGAGACCCAGAGTTTACTGACAGTACTATTTGAAAAAAAAAACCAAACTGAACAAATATGGCTTATTTGGAAGGTTGCTCTCTAAAAAGAACATGTTTGCATAGCTTAGGTTTTTTTTTTTAAAAGTTCATCTGAACAAGCCAGAAGATTTCTGGAGCAGTATCCTTTGGACAGCAAAAACCAAAGTGGAGATGTTTTGCCATAATCTACAGTGCTATGTCTGATCAAAAGCAGACACTGAATATTGGCAAACACACGTCATTCCAGCTGTCAAGCACCGTAGCTTGAGTCAGTCATATGAAAAGGAATATTTTTGTAATCTATGAGGAGTTCAGGGCTGGATGTAATTGTAATTATAATGGTCTGTATAATTATTTAATAGTCTTTGCCACATTGTTGCTGCTGCTATCTCTCCTTGGTTATCGTTTGAAAAAATGACACTTTAATATCTATATTATAATATATATATTTAATATCTGGACAACAAAGATTTAAGAAACACTTCATTTATACAGTGAAATACAGTGGGGCAAAAAAAGTATTTAGTCAGCCACCGATTGTGCAAGTTCCCCCACCTAAAATGATGACAGAGGTCAGTAATTTGCACCAGAGGTACACTTCAACTGTGAGAGACAGAATGTGAAAAAAAAATCGATGAATCCACATGGTAGGATTTGTAAAGAATTTATTCGTAAATTAGGGTGGAAAATAAGTATTTGGTCACCTCAAACAAGGAAAATCTCTGGCTCTCACAGACCTGTAACGTCTTCTGTAAGAAGCTTTTCTGTCCCCCACTCGTTACCTGTATGAATGGCACCTGTTTGAACTCATCATCTGTATAAAAGACACCTGTCCACAGCCTCAAACAGTCAGACTCCAAACTCCGCCATGGCCAAGACCAAAGAGCTTTCGAAGGACACCAGGAAAAGTATTGTAGACCTGCACCAGACTGGGAAGAGTGAATCTACAATAGGCAAGCAGCTTGGTGTGAAAAAATCAACTGTGGGAGCAATCATCAGAAAATGGAAGACATACAAGACCACTGATAATCTCCCTCGATCTGGGGCTCCACGCAAGATCTCATCCCGTGGGGTCAAAATGATCATGAGAATGGTGAGCAAAGATCTCAGAACCACACGGGGCCCGTCTGAAGTTTGCCAGAGAGCACATGGATGATACAGCAGAGGATTGGGAGAATGTCATGTGGTCAGATGAAACCAAAGTAGAACTTTTTGATATAAACTCAACTCGTCGTGTTTGGAGGAAGAAGAATACTGAGTTGCATCCCAAGAACACCATACCTACTGTGAAGCATGGGGGTGGAAACATCATGCTATGGGGCTGTTTTTCTGCCAAGGGGACAGGACGACTGATCCGTGTTAAGGACAGAATGAATGGGGCCATGTATCGTGAGATTTTGAGCCAAAACCTCCTTCCATCAGTGAGAACTTTGAAGATGAAACGAGGCTGGGTCTTCCAACATGACAATGATCCAAAACACACCGCCCGGGCAACAAAGGAGTGGCTCCGTAAGAAGCATTTGAAAGTCCTGGAGTGGCCTAGCCAGTCTCCAGACCTCAACCCCATAGAAAATCTGTGGCGGGAGTTGAAAGTCCGTGTTGCTCGGCGACAGCCCCAAAACATCACTGCTCTCGAGAAGATCTGCATGGAGGAATGGGCCAAAATACCAGCTACTGTGTGTGCAAACCTGGTAAAGACCTATAGTAAACGTTTGACCTCTGTTATTGCCAACAAAGGTTATGTTACAAAGTATTGAGTTGTATTTTTGTTATTGACCAAATACTTATTTTCCACCCTGATTTACGAATAAATTCTTTACAAATCCTACCATGTGGATTCATGGATTTTTTTTTCACATTCTGTCTCTCACAGTTGAAGTGTACCTCTGGTGCAAATTACTGACCTCTGTCATCATTTTAGGTGGGGGAACTTGCACAATCGGTGGCTGACTAAATACTTTTTTTGCCCCACTGTATGATGAAACCTTTGGACTATGTCTTCCTTACAACCCTCACATAATTAATGATAAATTTAAAACAAAAATTCACAAATTATTAGCATATTCAGAACATTTTATTAAATATTAGAGACAAATTGCTGTGTACATCTCGTTACTATCCAAATAACCTACAGTTACCGTATTTACATGGGTAAAAAATGTTTCTCAAGACTCGAGCCCCAAACCTCGAGTCTAAGTCTCAAGTCTGAAGGCTTTGGTTTTTGCAACTTAACTGTGACTCGAGTCTAAGTCGCGAGTGCAAGTAGCCATCTCTGGTTTGACACCCCTGTCTTGTGATTTGTTCAGATTCAGTTTTGCAATCCTAAACCAGGGCTCGCAAAATTTCAAAATCCCTGGTAGCCCTTCGGGCAGGGACTCTTCAGTTTTTGGTAGCCCAAAATAAATTTAAGTAGCCCGAATAAAAACGAGAGCAATTTTTTGATTGATGATTTGTTTCCTGTTTTGTTTCCGTTACAATATTATACTTTAATGTATAATATTGTAACGGAAACAAAACATTAATCAAAAAATTGTTGAAACACAAATTACAACATTGTATAAAAATTGCAATCATCAACTCAAATACTTGGTTCTAATTGAACAGAAATTTCTATGAACTTGTAAGAACTGTGTAGGACATGAATCAGTCTGTGTCAGATCCTGAATTTGAAATTTCCACTGAAGTCACGGGTAAGAGGCAAGTGGAACCAAGATCGAGGCCATTTGCTTTTTGAAGTTTGCAAAGACTACTAAATTTTGCCAGTGGTAGTTCACTCTTTCCAACATAGTACGGTGTTCTAAACAGATTTTTCAGGTTTATTTTTAGTATGTTATTTGGAATCGGTGTTTGTTCTGGGAAAGATATTGCAGACTGAGCAATAATGCATTTCTTGCATTTTTCATGGGTTCTATTGGGGGCCTTTCTTAAAATTACTGGTCCCAGTAACAAAGGCGCTTGTCGACTCAGAAATCAAGGGAAAACCAACAACATACCCGGTAGAACATTGTTATTTACACGGGTGCACATAAGTGGTCCGCATGTGCGCATTCGCTGTCAAAATAAAAGACGCGCACCAGATAAGAAGTTGCAACGCGCGTTTGCATCCATATAATTAGTGCGCATGCGCCAACCAGCGTGCAGCCTGTTACAGTCGCTCCTGCTTTTTCTCTTAGTTTAGCTCTTTTTTTCTTGCGTATTCTTTTTTTTCTGACTTGTATTTTCATCCGTTTATTATCTTTTACTCAATCATGTGGATTGAGAGAGTTTTTGTTCTTCTGGTGGCCGTGGAACTGTTACTTTTATCAAGGAACGGGACCGCGGCACATCTCCTACACTCACGGACTGTTTACTCCAGAGATCAGCTGATCGCCCTGATGCCGGCCGGCTCGCTGGCCAGGCCCGCAGAAGTACCAGCTGAAATTTGGAGTAAACACATCGATGCAGAGGTCAAGGACAGAAGAGAAGAAAGAAGGAGATGGTGAGACAGCGGAGGCTCGAAGCGAGGAGGAGGTATAAACCGTGTCTGCCGTCTATCGTAATGGGAACTGTCCGATCGTTATCGAATAAAATCGACGAGCTCTCAGCACTGGTACGGAGTCAGAGGGAATACCGAGAGTGTAGCCTGATTTGTTTCACCGAATCATGGATGCACCAGGACATTCCCGATGAGAATGCTTCCGTGGAAGGCTTCCATACTGTTCGCGCGGACAGGGACAGCATCGCTAGCGGTAAGCGGAAAGGAGGTGGGCTTGCTGTTTTAGTTAACAACCGGTGGTGTAACCCTGCCAACATAACAATCAAAGAAAGGATTTGTTGCCCGGACATTGAACTGTGTGCTGTTGGACTCAGGCTGTATTATTTACCCAGGGAATTCTCTCACGTCATCTTGGTGGCTGTTTATGTTCCTCCCTCTGCTAACCCTACAGCTGCATGTGATACTATCCACTCTGCCATAGCCCGGTTACAGACTCAGCACCCGAGTGCCTTTATTGTGATCTCGAGTGACTTCAACCATGTATCACTGGACAATACACTAACAACATTCAGACAATATGTGGATGGACTGTCCCACCAGGGGATGAAAAATTCTAGACCTACTGTATGCTAATGTCAAAAATGCATACAGCTCCTCCTCCCTCCCCCCACTTGGTAGGTCAGATCATAACCCGATTCACCTCATCCCCCGCTATGTGCCAATTGTGAGGAGGGAACCTGTGACCATGAGGACTGTTAGGAGGTGGTCAGAGGAGGCCTTAGCGGAACTACAGGGCTGTTTCGAGGTGACCAACTGGGAAACACTCTGCGAGCCTCACGCCGAGGACATCAATGGGCTTCCTGAGTGTATCACAGACTACATAACTTTCTGCACCGACTCCATTGTTCCAGCTCAGACTGTTCATTGTTACCCAAATAACAAGCCGTGGGTGACTAAGGACATCAAAGCCCTCCTCAACAACAAGAAGAGGGCTTTCAGAGGGGGCAATAAAGAGGAGGTGAGGAATGTCCAGGTGTTACTAAAGGACAAGATCAGAGAGGCTAAGGACAATTACAGGAGGAAGCTGGAGTGGAAACTCCAGCAGAACAGCATGAGAGAGGTGTGGAGGGGCATGAAGACCATCACTGGATTCAGGCCAACCAACAGCAGGGGAGCTGAGGGAGGTGAGAATAGAGCTAACGAGTTGAATCTGTTTTTCAATAGATTCGACACCACAGTGTCTGCTCACACCCCCACAACCGCACCTGTAGTCAGCCTGGAATCCAGAGCCACACCACTGTGCCAGCCTCTCTCTTCACATGGCGCTGTTGCCTCCTGTGAGATTCCAGACACCCCTCCCCCACCCATCACCTTCACTCAAGAGATGCAAATGAGGAGACTTCACTCAGGCAAGTCTGCTGGACCAGACGGAGTGAGTCCCCTCGTCCTCAAGACCTGTGCCCCCCAGCTGTGTGGAGTCTTTCATAAACTGTTTATGCTGAGTCTGAGTCTGCAGAGGGTCCCAGTGATGTGGAAGACATCATGCCTCGTCCCTGTACCAAAGACACCACGTCCCAGTGGCCCCCAGGATTACAGGCCCGTGGCACTGACCTCTCACATCATGAAGACCCTGGAAAGGCTCATCCTGGACCAGCTGCGACCCATAGTAAGACCACATCTGCATCCCCTTCAGTTCGCTTATCAGCCTCGTCTCGGAACTGAGGACGCCATCATCTACCTGCTCAATCGTGTCTACACCCATCTGGACCAGCCGGCGAGCACTGTGAGGGTCATGTTTTTTGACTTTTCTAGTGCTTTCAATACCATCAGGCCGACCCTCCTGGGTGATAAGTTAGCAGCGATGCAGGTGGATGCTTCTCTGGTGTCCTGGATTGTTGATTACCTGACAGGAAGACCACAATATGTACGTCTCCCACAGTGTGTGTCTGACAAGGTAATCAGCAACACAGGGGCACCACAGGGGACTGTCCTCTCCCCCTTCCTCTTCACCCTCTACACCACAGACTTCAGCCACTGCACAGAGACCTGCCATCTTCAGAAGTTTTCTGATGACTCTGCAGTGGTTGGATGCATCAGCAGGAATGATGAGACAGAGTACCGGGCTGTGGTCGACTCCTTTGTCACGTGGTGTGAGCAGAATCATCTGCAGCTCAACGTGGCAAAGACCAAGGAACTGATCGTGGACTTCAGGAAGACCAGGAAACACTTGACCCCTGTTTCAATCCAGGGGGTCAGTGTTGACATTGTGGAGGACTATAAATACCTTGGAGTACACATTGACAATAAACTGGACTGGGCTAAAAACACCACAACACTTTACAGGAAGGGCCAGAGTCGTCTCTATTTTTTGAGGCGACTGAGGTCCTTCAACATCTGCCAGAAAATGCTCAGGATTTTCTATGAGTCTGTTGTGGCCAGTGCGATCCTCTATGCTGTTGCATGCTGGGGAGCAGGCTGAGGGTAGCAGATGCCAACAGACTTAATAAACTAATCCGTAAGGCCAGTAATGTTGTGGGGATGGAGCTGGACTCCCTCAAGGTGGTGTCGGAGAGGCGGATGCTGTCCAAGATAAAGACAATGTTGGATAACACCTCCCACCCACTCCATGACATGCTGGTCAGTCACAGGAGCACGTTCAGTGAGAGACTGAGATTACCGAAAAGCACCACTGAAACGACACAAGAAATCTTTCCTGCCTGTGGCCATCTCCCTGTACAACGCATGCACTTAACACACTGGTTACTGCTACAACTACACATGTTTCTTTTCCAGCTATTTATTAAGGAGTGACTTATGTATATGTATATATATGTATATATTGTACTATTCTTAGTTAGCGTATTGTCTGTCTTGTTAATGTTGGTTTATGTTGGTTTATAATAGAGCACTGTAACAAAAAATAATTTCCCCCAGGGATCAATAAAGTATTCTGATTCTGATTCTGATATAAAAAGGCACTGTTTTTGTCCGCTAGAGTGGGATTTTCACGGCACATTCTGCACTAAATCTCTGTGCATTCATCATTTGTTTGAAGCCAGCTCACCTCCTGCAACCACTTTTCCGAGAATACGTGCTTCTTTTGTGGTTCGGACTCCTTCTGACATTTCTTTGGAGGTGGAGGAACACCAAAGTAATTGCGTAAAGGAGCTTGCTTCTTCGACATCTTTAAGAGTTCTAAATAAATGTCTGTTCTCCTCCAGAAAATCTTATGTACGCAAACACGCGTTGCAACTTCTTATCTTGTGCGCGTTTTTTATTTTGACAGTGAATGCGCACCTGCGGACCACTTATGTGCACCCCTGGTTATTTAGCTTGTCATATTGCAGCCACAGAAATTCTTTTGTCCATGAAACCATAAAGCTGCACTTTCTTTTTGCCTTATAGTCTGATTTGTCATAACTTTTCCGTTTTGTGGTAAGCTTTTCTTTGGCTGTCACTCCTTCACCCTGACCTGTCTTATTTGGCTCAGCAGAACTAAAATATATATCCTGCTGCTTTTACACACGCACTCACATAACGCTCAGCGATTCTCTGCGCGATCAACCTCTCACATGTTTAAGCTTGCTGCGGGAGATTTCACTTGTCATGTTTGCATAGTAAGCTAACGATTAATAAGACGATATCAGAGGAATTGGTGCGCAAATTATCGTCACCAATCAGTGCTATCGCTCTCTATACACAGTTCGCACGATTGCAAAGTGAAAGCAAAAAACAAGCGCAAATTCAAACGCGATTTCAATATGTCACATATTGACAATGGCTCACCGATGCCAATGACATAATTACCCAGCTACATTTCCGAAAGAATGCAAAAGCATTGACATATATTTTTCCTTCCTACGATAGCCCGACGGGCAGGGCAGAGATAGATTTTGGTAGCCCGACTGGAAAAATCGCTAGCCGTTGGGCTAGCGATTTTGCGAGCCCTGCTAAACCATGTTCTTTTAAGTAGAAAAATGCTTTTTTTCTGGCAACCCTTTTAATCCAAGGCACAGTCATACTTGTTCAGTCTTTTGCAAACTGAACTTTAACATTTAACTAATAATAACAGAGTCCTGTAGAGTCTGAGATTTGGCTCTTGGGTTTTCTGTATTTTCTCTGAGCATTTTACAGAGGTAAATTTATGGAGATTTTTACTCCTGGGAAGATTATGGCATTGTGTTAGCACACACCTGAAAGTGTGAATAGTTATCTGTCTCTCTGTGTTGGCCCTGCGATCTGTTCAGAGTGTACCCTTCCTGTTGCCCTATGGTAGCTGGGAGAGGCTCCAGTTTCCCCATGAAGAGAATGGATGGACGACCAGATTAATTAAAAGAATTTAAAAAAATGTAAATCCAGGTATCAAATTAGTTGTCTCATTTAATTGAACAACTTTATCTTTCTACCCCTTTAGTCTTCACCAGGCATATCTAGGAAGCAAGACAAGCCTCTTCCAGCCCCACCTCCTCCACAGAGGGACCCACCACCACCTCCTCCTCCCGAGCGTCCTCCTCCTGTCCCCCCTGAATCACACCACTCTTCGCTCCCCAGTTCCTCGTACATGTCCTCTTCTTCTACAGGCATGCTGTCAGAATTCCAAATTTCCTCTGAGACTTGGTGCTCCAAAGACAGCCATTTGACAGATGCACACAAGACTGGAGGGGAACACCAACTCCAGCTGGGACCCACTGTGCCTTGTCACTTGCACCGAAGACCACTCAGTTGTCCATCTGTGGAATTTGTGAGGTTACATCAAAGGTTGGACGGGGCAGGAAATTCAGAGAGCTCCAAGGTAAAGATTACGTGTCTTTTAAATATTTAAAATGATAAGCCAGTACTGGACTGTATTTTTTTGAATTTACTAAGTAAAAGAAAGGATAAACTCTCACAATTCTGGGAGGAAGAATCCTAACTGTGACTTTGTTTAGTCTCTTCATTCTGCCCCGTGAGGTTCGATGTGTCCAGAACTGTGGGATGGGTTTGTCATGGTTCTTTGACCCAATGTTTTGTTTGTGTGGACTTGTGAAGCTTGTTTATTATCACTGTTGTATTCTTAAAGACTGATTTATTTTTCTTAGTTTAGTTTCCATGTGCTTATGAGTTTCTGATTATTGTTTTACCTCAGGGATTCATGTTAGTTTGGATTTTTTAGTTTTCTTTAGCATTTCCCCTTTTGTCTTACCCTCTGTCCTTGTTTATTACCCTTCAGTAGGGCTGCCACAAACGATTATTTTGATAGTCAACTAGTCACCGATTATTTTTGCGATTAGTCGACTAATCAGATCATGCATCCATTAGACGTACAGCTTATTGCACCAGCATGCATCTGCTCTTATATAACTATCATTAGCTTACAGCTTTAAGTGTTTAAGGTATGTGCTAACTAAAAATAAAGACAAGATGATAGTTTATTAAATTTTAATGAAATTTGCAGATTGTTTCGGTGAAGTTTAATAAACTCCTTGCTATCTAAAATATAACAGGACACCGGAGTATATTCTCCAGCATCTCACACTTCTGATAATCAGTTGTCTGCTTGACGTTTATTCAGCTGTGTAAAAACTATAACTTTAATCTCAGCCAAACCGATTTACTCAGGAACAAATAAAATACAAAAAAAAAAAAAAAAGCCAAACAATAACATTTTTAAATTATCTAAGTGACCTATATATGTTTAACCTGAGTAGCGAAAGTCCACGGTGGGTTTGAAAACGATTTGCAGGGAGTCCGGTGTTCTCACGGGCTCTAGTGAGCCTTGCTCCCGGCTAGCTATCGAGCTAGTGGGTAACAGACATCTCCGAAAACGTCGAGGCACTTTTGAAAATATGTGGTGTCTTGATAAACTGAGCAGATATTTGAGGTTTACACAGTTACATTCTCGCTACAGACTGGCGACCTGTCCAGCGTGTACCCCGCCTCTCGCCCTATGACAGCTGGGATAGGCTCCAGCCCCCCCCCCCGCGACCCTGAAAAGGAGAAGCGGAAACAAATGGATGGATGGATGGATGGATGGATGGGTTTATTTTGTGACCCAGAAAGAATAATAAGAGTTATATTAAAACTAACTAGCTGCCGCCATTGTTGGAAACTGAGCTGGGCTGCGCTATGAATTCTGGGACACAGCTTCTTCTTCGGGTTTTAACGGCAGCTGGCATCCTTGTACATACACTGCTGCCATCTTCTGTTTCAGTCCGTTATTACACTCTTAAATTCTACTACTTATTCCTGCGTCTTTTGTGATCTTACAAAGCTTCAAACGACGCGTCGACTATTAAATCAGTCGTCGACGTAATCGTGACTAGTCGACTAACCGTGGCAGCCCTACCCTTCAGTGTCTCTTTCTCTCTCTATCTACATCTGTGTCACTTCATCTCTCTCTCATCCCAGTCAGACCTCGGTGTTCTGTCTCCCTTCCCATGTTCTTCTCTGTATTTTATCCTTTGCCTCCCCAGTTTGTTATGTGTTTCCATGTTTGTTAACCCTCAGGTTTCTTCAGGTTCCATGGGCTCTGTTGCTAGCATGTCACGGTTTAGTTTCTCTGTTTTAGTTCCCCATTCCGTTTTGTTTTTTTATTTTTGTACCATTCAACAATCAGCCTTAATAAACGGCTCACCTCCAGTTAACTCCTTCCTGCCTCCCAGTGTTTGCATTTAGGTCCTCACTTCAAGCTTCCCTGAGTCTGTACACCTTGAGACCTTAATAGGATTACATGGCTCTGTAGCGTGCCGCTGTGTTAAACTATGTAAATGTGAGCATGTCACTGAATTTGCAGCTAAAAAAAGAACTTCAATATATGTGTATTTTGGAGTGGTGTATAATAAAAAGTCTGACCATAATATGGTAATGCCATATTAATTTCAAGGCTTTCATAACATGTTTTAGATCAAAAGGTAAATCATATAAAATACTTATTATTAAATTACATTAATATTTAAAAATACAAATATAAAAGGTTTATTTCACAAGCCAATAAAAATTTACATGGGCCATTCCACTGACCTGAGGGTTGTAAGGTTGGACACTGATTTAGTATTAATATTAATTAATACTACCACGTCATAATGTCTGTTTTCGGCAGCACAACACTTGCCTCCTCATGTCAGAAAGCCTTCCAAGAAGAAAGTTTTTTTTTATGCCTTAGTTTAGATTGTATGTATATTATTTTATTTGACTTTGACTGTACTTTAGATTATTTATATATTTTTGCATTTAAAAAATGTTTTCTTTAAAAGCTTAAATTTCAATATGGCACGTACAAACAATCACAGCATTTAGTTGTTGTTTTTTGACAGATATTGTATGCAGCTAAACTTTAAAACATTGCAGTTTCTAAAATGGAAACCAATGGGTTAGGGTTAGGTTTCATTCTAAAAGACCAGTGTTTTTTCTCGTTTTAATATTTATTATTACTTGTTAACAAGACAAAAGTACTTCTTGCAAAATTACTTGGTTAATCAATGGAATAATTGATAGATTACTCTATACTAAAATAATAGGTCGCTGCAGCCCTAGGTTACTCTAAAATTTGGTTAAATCTTTTCTTGAGGACTATAATGGTAAATCTAAATATTTTTGGAGATTCTCTAACATTTCTCTTAGACCCAGTGTCAGATCAAAATTTTGACCATTACAAAAATAAATGTTATCTTAACAGCCTCCATTGGACGTTCTATCTCACTTAACTAAGATGGGGAATACTCTAAGATTGCTCGAAAGTTTGTAATAAGCACAAGCTTAACAAGCATCATGATCACTGATCAGTTTACTTTTTATTAAACACAAACTTTTCCTGGACTGCCGTTGGTGGATTCATGGATGTAGTCACTAGTCATTGGGCTCCTTCCTTCCGCTTAGTGTATAGCTTCAGGTTGCTGGACCCTCCATGCATGGTCAGTAGTTTTCTTGTCTTGATGTCAGTGGCTTCTATCTCCTCCTTTGGCCAGCTTATTATCTCAGAAAGGTATCTGACAATTGGCAGGGCATAGGTGTTGATTCCTTAGATGTTGTTCTTCCCATTCAGCTGACTCCTCGGGACTTGCCTTACTCTCTGCAGGTACTTGGTGGGTGCAGCTTTCCAAACAGCCTGTGGGAACACCTCTCAGCTGTTGTTTTGGCCCTCTGGTGTTTCTACCTCTTCCTTTCTATGCCCCTTTCATGTTTAAAACTGTGTGCCCATTCATCTTAGCTTCCCTTCTGGGGATCCTTGGGGATCAGAACTATCCGGCCTTCAGTTAGCCATTCCATTCCATTGGTAGCTGGTTCATTTGTACTGCCAAGTGGAATGTAGTTAGCCAGTAGGCATGAATCATGTTAGGACCTGGTGCTGTCCAACTCTTCCTGCTTGAGTCTCTGGATGTCTGTCACTTTGACGTCACTGGATCCTGATCAAAACCGTATTTGTTTCAATTTTGAAAATAAAGTTAATTAACTATTAGGAACTATTGTTTCCTGTGTAAAAGTGGAAATGCTGACAACTGACATTCGACTTTTGTAATGCTGAAGAAATCAATAGATTAATGGGACAGCAGAGGCTTCTGAACATGTCTTTGAATTCTCTGGTTTTAAAGATTTCTTCTGTCCTAGGGGGCACTGCTTTTACATTATTGCAAGTAATAATAATAATAATTCTCAAAAAGTAATTCATCTTTCTCAGAACACTTTTTCAGTGACTGTAGGAAACATTATTTGAAAAAACAGTTTTTACCCCATAGCAATAAAATGCTGATGGGGTAAGCAACACATGATTTTGATATTTATGCTACAGGTGAATCTACTAAAAATCTATGAGGATTTTGAATCAGGGTCTATTTTGGGAATGATATAACTCAAGAAGGAAGTCCCCTTGGATTTTCAAATTTATACCATAAATGTATCTACTTGCAATGACAGCTGCCAATATTTTTACAAAAGGTTTTTTTTTTCATCATTAAGGATGGGTTCTTCTACATGAAAGATATTTTGATTTATTTCTGATTGCCACATCACAGATACCACATCCATTTTCTCTTTTGTGTGTCTGTGCAGCCCTTCTGTAATGGCGAGCAAGTCAGTGATGAGTATGACATCGTTCCCTCACGGCAGTTGCCAACTCAGTCCAAACTTTGTAGTAGCCACAAGTGAGTATCACATCTCACACACACACACACACACACACACACACACATAAATATTTATCTAGCTGGATATGAACAAATATTCCCAGAAAATATCCTGGAAATTTCTGGTTAATCTGCATTTTTAAGTCAGTTTTGATGCTGCTCTAAAACTGTAGATTAACCAGCCTTTGACAAGGCTGTGTCTCAGATTTTGAGTCAAGATTGTGTGCTTTTAAAAAAAATGAAAACATACTGTTATGGTGTGCATGCTATAGACATCTTGGATACTCAGCTGTATCTGAGAAACTACATGACTTGTGTTTTACCTTATTTTCAGCAAGTGAGCTTTACATGTATGGATTTGAAGTAGATAAAGTGCTTAAAGTGTAAAACACTGTATACATGGACAAATGGGACAACTGTAAAATGCCTTGAGTGGTCAGTAAGATTAAGAGTGCTCTAATACATGTATAAACAAAATCTCTCTACTCGCCATGTGGGCTGTTTTTATTCTTTAACCACTTAAGCCCCACGCCCCCGGTACCGGGGGCAAAAAGGAGATCACGTCAGTGTTGCCAACTTAACGACTTTGTCGCTGTATTTAGCGAGTTTTCAGACCCCCTTAGCGACTTTTTTTCTAAAAAGCAACCAGCGACAAATCTGGCGACTTTTTCTGGTGTTATTGGAGACTTATTTATGACGACTTTTTGACGTGAAAGTGCGTATCGCTCCTACTCTCAACAAGCAGCGTGTGCTGCCGTGGGCACCTCGCCTGTGCCAAAGCGCTCACGGGTGGAGGATAGTCCTCCCCCAGCTGCTATCAGGACAGGAGACGTCCACGCCTATGAGTCCAAACTGCAAATGAATCGCGCATGAGCGAAGCCACTGCTCCCGCACTGACTGTAACGCAGTGGAATTGAACTCAGGACCTTCTTGCTGTGCGGCAACAGTGCTAACCACCGTGCCACCGTGCTGCCTCGTTATAGTACTGAGTTAATAATTCAGACAGTTCTTTACTCACAAGTTTATAAAATTCAGAAGGGAGTCCATCCAAACCAGTTGATTAATTACTGATTCCACTTCCTCTCTTTTAATTTCCCCAACCGAGGTCTCATAAGTGACAGAATTTAATAGTTCAACTTCACTTAGAAGATTGTTAACAGTGTCACTATGGGTGAAATATCTCCGAACAATAGTCCCTAATAACTTCTAACTTCTAATCTTTTCCCTTCTTCTTTGAAAACTGACTTTCCATGTTTGTCCTTAATTGAGACAATGAAATCATTTCCACATTTCTTTTGATTATTTAAATGGTAAATGGTAAATGGCCTGTATTTATATATAGCGCTTTTACTAGTCCCTAAGAAACCCAAAGCGCTTTACATATCCAGTCATCCACCCATTCACACATACATTCACACACTGGTGATGGCAAGCTACATTGTAGCCACAGCCACCCTGGGGCGCACTGACAGATTAGAATCATATAATCGCTATTCCCATGAAATTCAGTACATCTCAACATATTAAATAAAACTTCTCTGTTGACTCGATCAATGCTCTCCTTAAGAGACATCCTTTGATTTTCTTCCTCTTCTTGTTTCTCCTTCTTATTTCTTAAATATATATATATATCTACTTACATCTTCATTGTATTTCATATTCTTAGCATGATTTAATTATCTCGCAAAGTTCTGAGAAAGAGGCAGTAAAAATCTGAAGATGTAATATTTTCTTAATTTCAGATTTAACTTCGGGCACAAGCAAACCCGTCTGGTAACAAAGATGTATTCAGTTTCCAATAGTTCAAAAATTTGTGGGAGCAACAGGATATTGTTGCCATAACCACCATGTGATCAGAAAAGTCTGGGGGTTTTTTTGTTTTTGTTTTTGTTTTTTGGGGTTTTTTTGTTGTCCCGTTTGGATCTTTAGCCATCAGAATTGTTGTCTTAAGGCCACGAAAGATGCCAAGCGGATTTATTTTACCAAGTGGATCATCATGGCCTTGCCATATTGGTCCATTTGATTGACCTTTATTATAATTATGTATTTATTTTATTTTCGGTTGCTACAAACGGGACAGACATGACTGGGGATAGGACAGGGAGAAAGAATGAAAGAAAGAGAGGGAGAGAAAGAAAAACAGAGGGGAGAAGAGACGGTGAGAAAGGGGGGAAGAAAGAAAGAAAAACAAACAAAACACCTGGATCACCTGTATGGAGAAAAAAAACAAGAGAAAGCAAAAAAAAAAAAAAGAGCAACATAATAAATACAGCACTATCACAATAAACTAGCTAGCAGTAGATAACAGTAGATACTAAATATTAAACGCTATTGTGCAGCACGCAAGATACACAGCGCACAATGTGCTTTGAGGCAGCAGCCAAGAAAGGTGTAGTCTGCGTCTGTGAACACCCGTGTCTACACCTGTGTGCACACCTGTGTGGATCAGCATGCTTGTATTCCAAAGGTTTCTCCATGTAACGATCTGTTAGGGAGTGTGGCGAGCCACAGCCCCATCCCCCAGGGTATGAAGCAGGTATGGAGGAGATCCAGGCCCCAGACATCCAGAGGTCCCAGAGTACAAGGACCCGAGGAGGACCACCAAAAAGGGGGGGAACCGTGCCACCCTCATGGGAAGAGCTGAGTAGAGCCCCAAACGAGAGGTCACCCAGCAGCTACGGAGCAGAGGCCAGAGGAGGTTCCAGCAGTGGCGTGCCCGCGGGCTCTGCCGGCAGCCAGCTGTGTCAGAGAGGACCGAGCTTCAGGTCCAGAGGCCAGAGGCCTGAAGGCATCCCACCCCCCCCCCCCGGAAGGGGCCCAGCCGAGCCACAGGCGCCAGGCTCCGCCAATCGGCCACCAGGAGTGAGCCGGTACATACATGAGCGCTCAGCCCCAGTCGACAAGAACCACCAACACACCAACGTCTGAGGGCATCAGCCAGCGGCAGGGAGTGTGGTGAGGGGAGATAGGCCTCCGTACTTAGGAGGGCCTGAGATGTACCCAGAGAGGTTGAGTCTAACACCCAACCTGACATATAGACACAGACGAACAGGCGCACGCGGACACAAACGTGCATTCCCACCCCCATATACACAACCAAATACTTGGCACTCACCCAACGTGTAGACAGACACAAATAGACACTGCAGAGACAGTCACACTCCCCAAACATACTCTATATCCCAGGTCCAGGTACCCCCGCCCCCGGAGGGGCAAGCCACACCTAGACCCAGGAGATGTTACCCTTCTCTCTGTGGTGGAGGCAAGCGGACCACCTGCTTATCTGCAGTAGCAGGGAGGCCCCGCATCCCAGACCCCAGTCTGACGGCCAGCACCTCCTCCCAGCCCCCCAGCCCTGACGGCTAACAGAACCAGGGTGAGTGAAGACCCCAAACCTCCCTACCCCCGCTCATATGTAGTGTTGCTGTGTGCTGTTCTAAAGTGCATTTAAAACATCAGAGAGCAGCACGGCTCCTCCCGAAAACCCTTAGTGTCTATATGCATTTAAAATTGAGGGTAGGGCACGGTGGTTAGCACTGTTGCCGCACAGCAAGAAGGTCCTGAGTTCAATTCCACCATCAGGCCGGGGTCTTTCTGTGTGGAGTTTGCATGTTCTCCCCGTGTCTGCGTGGGTTCCCTCCGGGTACTCCGGCTTCCTCCCACCGTCCAAAGACATGCAGTTTGTGGGGATAGGTTAATTGGATAAATCCAAATTGCCACTAGGTGTAAATGTGCGAGTGAATGTGAGTATGAATGGTTGTCTGTCCTTGTGTGTTAGCCCTGCGACAGACTGGCGACCTGTCCAGGGTGTACCCTGCCTCTCGCCCTATGACAGCTGGGATTGGCTCCAGCACCCCCTGCGACCCTGAAAAGGATAAGCGGTAGCGAATGGATGGATGGATGGATGGATGGATGGATGGATGGTAGGGCACCAGCGCCAGAGGTGGGTTGGAATACACCGACCATCCTCTGGATGCTGTAAAACGTGCCCACCCCCAAGGCCCTATATGTATGTGTTATGTGAGAGTGTGAGTAATGTGGATGTCTAGGTTGCAGAATAAAATTGAGGCACAGGCGGCCAGAAGGGGACAGAGGGGGAGTGCCTTCCCTGCACCCTGGTGACATACCTGCACCTCAAGCCCTTGGTGTGTGGGTGGGTGTGGTAGAGCGGGAATAGGGAGGCAGCTGAGGATGGGGAGGGAAGAAAGGGAGGGGCAAGTGGCCCCTCCCTGGGGCCAGCTCCCCCGCTGACCCCAGTAGGCACCCCCACACTCTGGAACCCACCAGGGCAAGAGGGCCCAGGCCCATCCGGACCAGGGCCCACAGCAGCAGCACCGCCCAGCCCCACAGAGTCCGGGGCAGCCCACCCAACTCCACCCCAGAGAAAACTGCACCCACCCCATCATCCAATCATCTCCCAAACTACACAAGACAATAGACACCCAGGTTGAGTTCATTCTCTACCTCTCCTATATCTCTCCCCCACCTGCAGAGTGAGCTCCTGTAGAGAGACTACCTGCAAAGATATAACAACCTCCCCACCAGTTAGAGAGCCCCCAAGTTGGGCCGATGCACCAGAGGTCCCCTGCACTGGGGCTGAGCCCCCCTGCACCCACCCGCCCACAGCTCCGGTGACACAACAGCCAGGACCCAAGCCCCCAAGGCCCAGCCAGCACCCCAGACCGGGGGCAGAGCGCACCCAGACCCCCAAGCCTCCACGCCCATCCCGGACCCGCCCAGGGGCAGCCAGGCTACCAGGCCAGTAACCAACATCCGCCAGCACAGACCCTCCCCCATCTCCGCTGTACGCAGCCACAAGGAAAACACCATCCACCAGAGCCCCTAACCAGGTCATGGCCACATCCCCCGGGTTAGGCCCTCCAGGGAAAACGTCCCTAGGGACTCCCCAGACGCCCTAAGGCCGTCCTCAAAGGAGCTTGCAAAGAAAAGCGTCTGGACTTCTTTAAGTTGCTTGAAGACGTTTCACCTCTCATCCGAGAAGCTTCTTCAGTTCTAAG